AGATTTTCCCCCTCCCTGAGATGAATTTTAGTGATCTGATTAGAAATTTTGGACACATTTTGAGCAGTTTGAGGAAGGCATGAATTTCTTTTTTATCTTGACCAATAACATGTTCTGAATGCACATTAAGATGTCAGCATGTGTGGTTTTTATTAAGTAGATTTCTGATCTTCAGACTGATACCTGTTTTTACCAGCAGGTGGCGCCTCCTCTGCTTGCAGGCCTTTTAATGGATAAAGAGCTTTTTTAGAGCTTCATTTGCTAGTTTCAATCCTATTTGTTAACGAAACAAGTAGTTTGTGCTTTAGTACAGTCTTGTTATTGATAAGTCGTTAATATTTAGGTGCTCTTATCATGAGGCTTGCACTTATCTTCATCATTCCTCCCATAACAGATTTAAAACCGTGTAATAACAGGCTTATAAATGTTGCATGTTCAGATTCTTTACCAATTAAACAAAGAAACCAGGAGAACGTAGTTCATCCTGTTAGTCGGGATGAGATTTCTGAAGCAACGGTGGAATCATCATCATCATCATCATCATCCATCCATCTTCTGAACCCGCTTTGTCCACGCAGGGTTGCCGGGGGGGGGGGGGGGGGCTGGTGCCTATCTCCAGCAGTCAACAGGCAAGTAGGCGGGGTACACCCTGGACAGAGAGCCAGTCCATCGCAGGGCATCATCATAATAATAATAATAATAATTATATTTATTATTATTATTATAAAATAATAATAATAATAATAAGCATAATCATAATAATCCTAGCTGCACAAACAGCATTCACACGAGGCGTTCAGTGTTAAACCCGTGGGTGTGTGCTTTCCACCTGAAGGTAAATCGATGAAACGCGCTAAAAACGGCTATTGAACTTGACTTTTATGAGATTGGCATATTTTTATGATCTCATTCGGTTAAGACTCCTATATGACAATCTGTAATTAGGCTAGATGTGTTTTATTGTTGATTTAGTCTGGATTAGAGGAGGATTCACTCTGTTTACCTTGAAGAGAGATGAGAGCGACATGGAGGTTAATGAAAGCATCCGAGCGTCTCCAGCGCTGAGGAGCTTCTCTCGCCCTCCACTAAACTAATTGTTTAATCAGTTTGGTGTCTAGAAGAACTCCTGGCTGTGTTATCGTCTCGTCTTGCAGCTCTGCTTGGGAAAATCGGTGCACGATTGACTCAGACTTGAGCAGAATGTTCGGATCTTCAGTAGCAGATTGTGAGCAGGCTTGATGACTGGTTATCGGGCCTCGCTGCCGTGACTCGGGTCGATGCTGGCCCTTTAGTGTTGTTGTGATAAATGTGCTGCACAGACAAAGGTTCAGCCTCTGTAGCTTGTTTGTTTTTGTTCTTGCAGCGTTTGCATCTGCAGACATTTATCACTAACCTTTACCGCACGTACACGTGCAGGCGTGCACATGCTGATGAAAGCCGCCATCGTTGTACGTGTGCCAAACCATGGACGTGGTACACACATGTGCATGCAGTTTAAGTAATATGGCTCTAATTAATGTCTGTGTGTGTGTGTGTGTGTGGGGGGGGGGGGTCTACACAGTCCATTGCATATAGAGTGATGAGTCATGGTCTGAAACCTTCCCCTTTCATCTCCTCTGGCCACTGAGCGGCGAGATGGATGAGAGGAGCGGACTCGTGGAACAGTTGAGGATGTGATGAAAAGACGGGAGGAGAGATGACAGCTGCAGCTGTAAGGAGGTAGAGAAAGGTGTGTGTGTGTGTGTGTGTGTGTGTGTGTGTGTGTGTGTGTGTGTGTGTGTGTGTGTGTGTGTGTGTGTGTGTGTGTGTGTGTGTGTGTGTGTGTGTGTGTGTGTGTGTGTGTGTGTGTGTGTGTGTGCGCGCGCGCGTGCGTGCGTGTGATGAGTGGGAGTGAAGTGATGAGTTTATTATGCAAATGCTTAAATGCATGAAAAGAACATGAATTTGGAGTTTATGATTAAATATTCTGCAAAAATTACAAAATGTTTCCCTCAAAACTATCTTGAAAATATTTCCGTTTTATTCTCACAACAGCGTCTCGGTTTGACGCGTTTCTAGGCTTCATAGTTGGAGAAAAACATCTCTGATCATGTTGACTTGTTCATCAACGCCAGGATAAACGGTGAGGGATGAAATGGGTCAAAACCATCTCCCACAATAAGAAGCTCTGTGTTCCTTAAAAATCATAAATTTATTGATATATTAAAGAGAGAATAAACAAATGTTCAGCAGAACTTTTTATCTAATCCCTTTTTGCTCTTATGGGCGATTTGCACGGTTCCTAGTGACGCCGGTGTTTAGAATCAAGTTATTTCTGCAGAGGGTGATGTTCGTGCAACGGTAGCACACTTCATGTATGTAATGTTCATGAATTCAGACATACACCTGCATGTTTTCCTGCACACGTGTTGCCTTGGAAACTAGACAGCCTCAGATAATAATGGAGGTTGTGTGGGTCCATGTAGGATGTTTGATTTCCTGACACCAGGTTCTGCTCTCCCCCGGTTCCGGACATGCTGTTAAGTTCTGAACACCAGTTTACTTTGAAACTGAAATCTGGATGAAAGGCATGCTGTGCTGAGATGTTTCCAAAAAGGTTGGGAATATCAGTATTGAATTTTGCCTCGTTAATATTTTGCCGATTTTTTTAAATTTCTGACGTTTTTGGTTGCTTCAGTGCTGACAGGAACACCGAATGTTGCTCCGACACTTGTTGCTTTGGTTTAGGACGCTAACCGTAGCTCTGAATCGGTTTGGCAGCCTTGAAGGTTAAAAAGATTCACACTTTCATCTGGTTTGAGGCTCTCGTCCATCAGCTGTCTGTTCACAACCAGTGAATGATTGAGTTAATAGATGTTGGCCATAAAAACAAATAAGAATTTGTAGTGGCAGCATGACACTTGCATGCCACATCAGTTGGCCGTATTTGTTGCGGTTTTTCCGAACGGAGCCGATCTCTAGCCATCGGGTCATTCTGATGCTGGTGGGATGGAATATTTTACAAGGCTTTACGTTGTTTGCATCATAAATTCAGCAGAAACAGGACACAACTTCTGCTGGCGATCAAACCGCTCTTCCTTAGTGCAGCTTGACCTGAATGTTTGGTATCAGAGGGACAGCAGCAGCTCAGCAGGTAGGGCAGCTTGTCCGGTGATCGGAAGGTTGCAGGTTTGATCCCAGCTCCCACCAGAGAATGCTGCTGTTGTGTCCTTGGGCTAGACACTTAAGCTGCTGGTGGTGGTCAGAGGGACCAGTGTTCAGCTGGCCTCGCCTCTGGAAGCTGTAGCTACATCGTAGCTCATCCCCCCCATTGTGTGAATGGGTGAATGACTGATTGTGTTGTGAAGGGCTTTGGGGGGTTGTAAAGCCCTAAATACAGGACATTTACCATTATTCCCATGAACACATGCATGTTTGATGGGTTGGTCATTCATTTGTTCTAACAATTCACCGATTCTGGTCTTAAGGCCGATACCGATTTCTGGTATAACTCTGACCTGCTGTTGTCCGTTCATCTCGGTTAACTTGAATTAATCGGCACTTTGTCAGATTTTTTGTTGGTGCTCAGCAATGTTGTGTTCGTAGACGAGAGAAAATTCAGATTTCCATGTTGTGCACACACACACACACACGCACGCACACGCACGCACGCACACACACACACACACGCACGCACGCACACACACACACACACACACGCACACGCACACGCACACACACACGCACGAGCACTCTCTACACACACGCACGAGCACTCTCTACACACACACACACACACACACACACACGCACACGCGCGCACGCGCACACACACACACACACACACGCACACACACACACACACACACGCACACACACGCACCCGCGCGCGCACACACACACACACACACACGCACACGCACACACGCGCGCGCACACACACACACACCTGACTGGCACACGTGCAGCCTGCTAGCAGTCAGCTCTGGGTGGAGTCGGTGCTCTGTAGAGCCTCCACTCTCTAGCTGCTGTGTGACAGAATGAGCTCTGGCCGGACTCGGCGTGTTTTAAGGTGCGCCTGAGTGAGAGAGGGTTGGTTGGCCTGTCAGCTAAAATTATTTGATTTTAATGACTTCACAAAGGAAAGGGTTGAATCATCTCCTGGATTTCTGGCTATGACAGACTGACAACAATAGGAAGTGCCCTGGAAAAGGCCACAAGGAAGGCAAAAGTGGAGTGACTGGAGTAGAAATGAAGAAGAATGAAGGGAGGGTTGGTGTAGAAAAGGTTAAGAGCATAAGGAAGTCTCATTTTTAGCTAAATGTCCACGGTTGGACTGTACATGCCCGTGTGTGCCTCACAACCGTCCAACACTTGCGAAAGCTGCACTTCCTTCTACTTTTAAACTAAAAATGTTCTGAGACTTATGTCACTAACTCAGAAGCTCCTCGTGCTTCTGACGTGACAAGAGTGGAAGAAACAGCTCGCTGTGTGTTTTAGGGTAACGTTTGTTGTTGATTCACGTGAAATCAGCAACAAATTCTTGGGAACATTCACACCATCAAACAAAAACAACACGGTTCCTGTGTTGTTAGTCAGAGTCCGACAGCCAACAGGTCATGAGAGGTGTTGCTAAATCACCTGAGCGTGCGTGTTCTGCTCAGACGGTGACCAAATAAATGGCTATAACTGAATTTATTAACATTAGAGGATCTTTCTCTTAATGAAAGGCAGTGAGTAACATGCATCCTTCAAGGAATTCCTAAAATGTTGAATTTGTTTATTCTGCCAACGATCCGCCCAGGCTGGACCTGTAATGTAGAGAACACGCATGCTATTAGCTAAATCTCATCA